AATTTGGCTGATCGGTGTAATGTTTATCTTGCAGTTTTTAGTTACTTGAAATACATCATCACTACATATTCCCATCATTAAAACATTCTTCAGATAGAGAAACAAGAGACAAAACAGCTGAGTGCAGTAGGAGGTGGACATTCGAGTAAATGTGTCAACTAGAAAGGTAATTATGCTCAATTTTGTGGGACATTTTATCCTTGGACATTTAAGAGGATAATTCTGGTGTTGTGGTATTTGTATACGTTTGGCCATCATTTAATAATGGCATTGCATTCTACAAGTTAGTTGCTGATATTTAAAACATGAGCCATGAGATGATCAGAAAACCTTTAAACAAACCTCCAAGATAGGCAGTTTAAGAGTATTTTTTGACATTTTTTGTGCAGTCTTACAGTTTTAGCTCCAAACAAATGATTAATTGATTACTTGTCAACTATTAAATTAAACACAAACTACTTTAATAATCCATTAATCCGATTAAGTATTCTTTAAAGGAAAAATATATCAAAATTCTCTGTGTTCCGGGGCGTCGGTAGCGTAGTGGATAGTGCCGGCGCCCCATGTATAGAGGCCATGCCTCGCTGCAGCAGTCGCAGATTCGACTCCGGCTTGTAACTCTTTGCTGCATGTCATCCCCTCCCCCCCAAACAATTTATTGATTAATCAAGAAATTAATCAACAGATTAATCAACAGTAAAAACAATTGTTAGTTGCAGCCCTGGTTCAGAGAATATGGCAAAACTCTTGGCTTAGAAAAACAGATAACTGGTTGCTCTGTGTTGTAGAGAGTAGATCAAAAAATGTATCGGGTGCTCTTGGAAAAAAAGGAGGGAAATCCAAAATACTTCAAACAGGAAAAGAATCCAGACACTCCAAAACAAAAATGAGAATGAGGAAGGAAAGATTAGATTAAAAAGCCTTTATTATAAATGATGATGAGTTGGCCATTATAATAAAGGCTTTTTAATCTAATCTTTCCTTCCTCATTGTGCTTGGATTCTTTTCCTGTTTGCAAAACTCTTGGCTTGTTTATAACCTGTCTGATCGTCTAACCTGCTTATGTTTCTTGCCCTTTATTGTGTTCGACTTTGTCATTGAGTTAATGCCGTGTTTAATTTGCTACAGTCATTAAGCTATAATATCCAAACTTAATTTTGCATAATACATTAAATTTAGAGGTGTAGCAGCATTATCTTTGGCCCTAAGACACCTGAACTTAATTTTCACTTCCATGGATCAGCTTTGGGTCAGTGTGCTGAAATTAGACACAGGCTTATTTTGTTAGTTAGTGACACAGGGGGTTGTATCAGGCATCTGGATAGAGATCTGTGATTTATTTCGCCTTTGCTTATACGCTAACACATGCACGTATGGAGAGGAGAACATAATGTGCAGCTGACCTCAAGGTTACATGCCGGTCGAGGTGGATTCAAGGACAGCCATGATGTTGTCTTTAACAGATGGAGCGTGCATCTTTGTAATCAGGTTTTGAAGAGGGCATGACAGCAGCTTGTGTTGTTTTACTAGAGAGCACTTTTCAGAGTGTTTTTTCTCAGAGATGTTATGGCTGTTTTCTCTCAAAATTAGTGTGAAACTGCGAAATCCTGCATCGCTTCCCATCGTGGCTGCAGTAGCTTACTTACCGTGTCACTTGTCTAAATGTCTGCAACATTATCTGGGCACACGCTGGCCTAGGGGGTCGATTCCTGTCAGTGAGTCCTCCTTAACTGCTCTGATTTACATGGTGATCAGAGCGGCTGGGCAACAACTCCCCCATGGTCGAGTAGTACTGACACACACACACACACACACACACACACACACACACACACACACACACACACAGATACACGGATACACGGACACTCTCTTTGCAATGTGGTTTATGGCTGCAGAAGCTCACATTAGCAACAGCTCATAAAATCTGCGACTGAGAATCTGTTGGTCTGTTAAACACTGCTCTGTGAAGGCACACAAGTGTAAAGATACACACAGGGTTGTACACGTGCATGTAGGTACACACACGCATCCACAGTTATCTCCTTTTTTTCTACAGTACTTTTGGCTTCAGGCCAAAACATAGCATTTTCTCCATAAAGAGAAGAGGTAAAACATCAAGTGGAGACAGTGGAAATTATACTGCGTTCACATGGAATCAGGAAGAAGGCAAAGTGGATATTATTTTAGCGGACAAGAGCAGGACGATAAAATGAGATGAGGCGGCAAAGAATATAGGTAACGGTGTCTTAAGCTGAAATATTTTCACTTTTTGCCGTCCATGGTGTTGGAATTTCAACCAGATGTTTTTTATTCCATTTTGTGAACAATACGACATCCCCATCGCAGCACATCATCCTGCGTGTTTAGTTTTGCCGCCCAGCCATTCCCTCGGACTGTTTGTTTGTTTTTCACGTGCCGCCCAGAAGGTGTTGTCCATCTGTGATCTACCGTCTTCCTGATTCCATGCGAATGCAGCATTACTCAGGGCTCAATAAGGCATTAGTGCGGTGATTTCCAGTGTTCAGTAACAGTTAATTCACAGTCTATTATTCCAACTTTTTTTATTTTAAATTAGTCCCAAATTAGTGAAAAATGCATCAACAGTTTTGTTTTGTTTAACTAAAAGTCCAAAACCTAAAGATTGTATATTTTTAATTATATAAAACAGGCAAAAGCAAGAAATCTTAATATTTAACTTATGCATTGATGAATAAAAACTGTTCATTTTCTGTCATCAACTGATCGTTACGCTGTGCCAACACAAGATAAACTGCATATGTTGTCCCTTTAAAGGGAGGGGGTGTAATATTTGTTTTACACATGCCTTATAACACTGATGAATATCTATTGAAAACAGCATTGTAAAGTATTGATCGCCTGAAAATGTCATGTCCTTGTGATCGAAATAAGACACGATGATGAAGATATTTCTGTATTGGCATCGTCTTTCAAGGTATCATAATTCACTTTACATCACTCCAGTGCCAAAGTGTTGGGGGAATCAGTCGGCAGAGTCTAGAGTCTAACCCCTGCCAAATATTTGTGCCACACTCTACATACTGAGCTACACATGCTGTGAGGCTGCAGTTATTGTGCGGTGCTTGTCCTCCATTCTGTTAATAGCTTTATCTCACTCACTCTGGTGAAAGAGAATGTCACCAGTTCAATTAGGAATGGGATGTAGTGTGTGTGTGTGTGTGTGTGTGTGTGTGCGTGCAGTTGGTCCTTGGATTTCAAGTAGATTGATAGTAGCACCCAAGCTACGCTATCCATACTATAACGAAAAGGTCATCCTGTGTGTGTGAGTGTGTGTGGAGTGTGTGCCTGGTGTGTGGTTCTCTCTGAGTGGATGTGTGTAGTGAATAAAGGGGAAATGTGGGTCTTGGAGATAAGCAGCTTGTTGAGAGCAGCCTCCTCATGTTGAACTGGGTTATGCACCTCAGGCTCCCCAGCACAGTGCGATACCCTCTAATGATTAGAAATGAACCCCATCCTTCAGATTCAGGTTACCAAGTGATGATGCAAACAATACCGTGTAATCCTTGTTGTTCCTCTCAGATATCTTTTTATTGTTGAGGAAAATGAAGATGCAGTGGAAAATAGAGACACAGAGAAAGTGAAGATAGAGATACAAGGCAAGACAAAGCAAAACTGAACTACAGTGATGTTGTTTTAATTTGTATGATAACGGGAAAGTACTGCAGATAGAATTACAATGAAGAATACAACAGAAGTGGTGTTGCTGCCAACTATAAAGCACTGATGAATTAATATGAAATATGTTATGACAAGCATTGTTGTATATTTGTCATCTGTTTTACGGGTATTTCTCTTATTAATTAACAGTTGCCCCAGAGAATTTGCGTGATGTGTATTGCTGCAAATGTTTTGATAATAGATTAAAATGCACTCTCAATGTAATTATGCTCGCGGAGGGTTATCCCCTCATCTGTTCTCTACATTGCCACATAAGTTCCCTCATTGCATCAGTTTCACATTACATTAAATTGCATTAGTTAATATCTAATGATCAGATGTTTAAATAATCTCCCACCCACTGAAAAAGCTGTGACATGTGAGAAAGATGTAAACAGCTGACATGTAATTTACAACGTGTTTTCATATAAATGCACAGGGACCCATCTGGGTGGCGTTAATTGCACAGTGCGAATCACAAAAGCCAGAGTTGCACCTGCTCCTCTCCTTCATCTCTTTACTTTTCCATCCATCTTTGGATTCAGCCTCCCCTGCCTCAAACGTTTTGTCCTTTTTTTTTTTTTTCTTTGAACAGATTCTGCACCCCTCCCACAGCCCTCCTCTGCCGTCCTCCTCTATTCTCTTCCTGCTTAGCTTCTGTGTCATGCTGCCCCTATTTTCCGTTGTTTACTCTCCTCTGTCTGGTGCCTCCCACCTTACCTCCCCGAGACTAAGGAGGAGCAAATGAGAAACACCAAAGAGCTGACAGAAATTACCAGGGCCAGAGTGTCTGATTGAATCAGGACAGGTGGAGAGGATATGAGGACGGTGGTCAGATGAATTTCTGACAGCTGCGTGTATATGTGCATGTGTGCATGCATGCGTGTCGGGGTCACTGCCATTAAATGGAAGCTGTCACTGAGTCAAGAATTGATTTTTCCCATAAAAGAGATACTATATGTGCAGTCTGCATGAAGGCAACACACAGAAAGCCATTTGTACTCACGCTTGGTGTGGGTCTTGAATTTGCTTTTTGCTGTTCGGTTGTGGTGCAAGCATTTGTGTGTGTGTGTTTTTTTTAATTTGCGTGTGTGATGGAGAGTCGTCGGGCCCCAACAGGGAGACCAAAGCTCGATTTGATGGATTAAAGCTCAATCTGTTGTTGAAAACCTCTCTCCAGTGGTGCCTTTGCTGTGTGTGTGTTTGTGTGTAAGGGTATGGGTGCATATCTGTTTTTAGTCAGTTTTAATCAGAGTTTACTCAACTTAATAACTAACTCCTCATTAATCTTTCCCTTTCAGAGGTCCTTCCGTTCCTTCAGTAACGATGACCGCCACGTCATGGCGAAACACTCCACCATCTACCCCTCCTCTAATGAGCTGGAAGCGGTTCAGACACTGGTGTCCACTGTCGAGTGCGCCCTCAAACACGTCTCAGATTGGCTGGATCAGAGCAGCAGCGATATCAACAGCCAGGTCGACAGCCAACCAGCAGACAGCACAGAGGAGGATGATCCTGGTGATGACCCCAGCAATGAAACTGAGGATTCCAGTGACAGCTATAGGTGGGTAGAGCTAGGCCTGTCACGATAATTATCGACTTATCGTACGATATATGGGCATGGCAGTGATCATCTTGCTAACCTGGATATTGCCCGTTGTCTTTACATGCGTGTTTGCTTACATAAGAATGTCACCAACATTTTAGCCAACATGATGCCAGGGTTTTTCCTTACCATTATAAGATTCTGGCACAGCAATTCTCTCCTTTTTTTTTTCACTGTACCCCTCCTAATTATGCAAGTACGGAGAAAAATAAAACAACACTGTAAGATGACACACTGTAACGTACCGGTAGCCTGCAGCTGCACTTTTGGCAGTGGCATAAACAGTTGTCAAAATGACAGGAATATCTTTAATAGGAATTATTTCAATATAATGTCCAACCAAAGTAGTAGAACTGAAAGCAATGATTTTGTAATTACGTTTTCAGTTCAATTGAGTTCAATTCAATTTTCTTTATAAAGCCCAATATCACAAATCACAATTTGCGTCAGAGGGCTCTCCCAAAAAAATGTCATGTCACAAACGACATGACGTAGAAGGTGGCATTCTCTGGCTTGTTTTGTCTGATCAAAAATGTCCACAGAATAGTTCAACATATTGGTAAAATACTGTATATGGCTTTCTGGCAGAGAGCTACATGAACAGCAGGAGCATGTGCAGCTCCGGAGGAAATTAACTTAACCACCTGACAATCTCTGGGCACAGTCTCCATGGTTGGCTATCTTCATGAATCTTTTTATTAAGGGTTCACTACTTCTCATTAAGGTCTTGAATTACCTTGTCGGATCTTATTTTGCCATCTTAACTGGCGCCTTGTATTTTAATCTTTTAATCGTACCGCTATTTACCAAGGAGCACATAAAATGTTGATGCATGTTAAGATATTCCTTGTTTGAAGTCATGGCATTATGTTTGGCAAAACTGTTATTGTCCTTTTATATTTCAGTAGTATTTAGTTCCCTGCACAGGTATAGATTTTATTGAGAAACTAGATGCAGTAACTTTAATTTTTTTCCCCCTGTATATCCTCACAGTTAAAAACCACACACAATAAAAATGTTACCTGTTGTTTATTTTTCTTTACAAAACAGAGAGCCCAGCAGCGGTGGCGTGCTGTGTGGAGTGATGAGGATCGGCCTGGTGGCCAAAGGCCTCCTGATCAAAGGCGACATGGACCTGGAGCTGGTGCTGATGTGCAGAGACAAACCCACACAGACACTGCTGGACACTGTCTGTCACAATTTACCCACACAGATAGAGGTTAGAGACAAACACATACACAGGTGCATGCAAACAGCAACATACTGCTGCTTCTTAGTTTCCGTCTTTTGTTTTCTGTCACACACTTGTTGCAAGCACGCTGCTCACACACACACAGTTTCATCCTAACATCAAAACTCCAGTCACAGTCTGCCAAATGAAATCCAAGAAAGCTCTGTTTTTATTGTGCACTCCTCTCCAATGTCAGAAAATAAGCTATTTGGACAAGCTTCCAACGCTTTATGAGTGTTTCTGCTTGAATTTGGCAGCTCGCACTGCTGCCTGCGTGTGTTTTAAGTTCATGTGTAAGTGTAGAGGGAAGCGTCGCGAGTGCTGGCATAAGGAGGCAAGCGACAGCAATGTCGTCAAGTGAGAAGTTGAGAGGTGTTTTAGTATGTATGAGTCATGTGTGATTAATGCTCCCGTCACTACCTCAGTGTCATGTTTCCTCATGAACAAGTCACGGCAACAGGAATACAAAACACGCTGATCCCCACAGTACACACAGAGTGTACACAAAATGCAGGCACAAATAGATGGGACCTATTTTATACATGCTGTCACTTTCACTCTTGGACATGTTTGCTTGTAATGTTAAATGATCAAGGAATTAAATTGCATTCCCCTTTTTTAGGCTGTGTCTAGCTTCTCGGGATTAGAGTCCGCTTTATAAGTAATTTGTTAGATATATATTGTGGTAGCATTGTAACATTGTGCATCACTAAAAATCTGTTAGAAGATACAGTATTTAGCAATAGCTGCACACATGGAAAAAACTTCCCAACCCAGCCGGCGAGTGCAGAAATGACTCAATGAATAAATTCTGCCTGGTGCCTCTTCTCTGCTCATTCTCCGACTCAGCTAAGTGGTGTGAGAGAGACACCGGCAGAAAGGGAAAAGGGCGTGTGTGTTTTCTGTCTGTGTGGGCAAGGAGGTAATCTTGTGTCTCGGCCCAGTGACCAGAGATTCTGATTTTCTCATCAGGGGCAAATGGGATGTAGATGGGCCCTCTGTGACTCGCTGCTCACTTAAGTAGTGCTAGAAACACACACACACACACACACACGCAAACACACACACTTGCTTTTGTCACTTAGGAGGACATTGACTTTGATTAATGTCCTGGAAGCTTACTCTAACCCTAGACACATACCTTACACCAGTCCTACCAATTTATATTCACTCTCATCCCTATGCATAGTCCAACCTCGATTTTCAATCGTATAGGACCAGCAGCTCACAGCAAGTGGACAAGACTCGGACAAAAACCTAAGCAGGGTTAATCCTGGTTACAACTTGGAGGGGAGCAGCCCTTTCGCCAGAAGAAAACGTTGCTGTTTAACATTTCTGCAAACCCTGAATGAAATACTTTTGCACATTTTTATACATGTCATATCAACGTTTGTAAAGTGATGTGATATATAAGCTGATTTTGTCATCAGGGGGTGGAGGGGATGGTTGATGGCAAGTCACCGAGGCGAGATGCCTGCCAAGCTGCAGACTACTGTTTTCGACCAGCATCAAAACTGGTTGTGATTTAGCGAGTCATTGCTGTGTTTCCGCGGCTTTTTAGACTCCAAACATGGGTGTTGTGCAGCAACCCATCGTGAAGATAGTGCCACGAAAAGCGGTTGTTTTTTACTGAGACATCACTGCTTTTTTGGAGGGAAAATCAGTTATTTTAAGCCAAAACATGATCTTTTCCTAACCATAACCAAGTGTTTTTTTTTTTTGCTTAAACCTCTGCACATGTTAGCAGGATTGTTGAAATGTAAAGTTTTAACATATCTGCTACAACATATCCATGGTTTGCAGAAATGTACAAGCCACCAGTTTATCTGGCGATTGGGTGGCAGCTCAGGAAAACATATGAATAACATACTGGAAGAGGAGAGGCTGGGACAGTTGTTGTAATCCCACAGCCCTAAAGCCTAATGGGCATCCTTTTATATCTATTAATAACCTTATTAATATTTTGTTTTAAAGTTAGAGGAGTTAATATTATTCAATCTGTGCCCATGTACCACAAGCTGCACCCTCAGCCTATCTTTAACCTAATATTGATCCTATTTTTAGTCCCAAATTCAAGTTGTAACCCCAACGTAAGTGATGATCCTTGCAGGAACCAGTCCACACACTGTGACTGGATGACAGATTTATTGCCCAATAACATAAATACACACACATGCACAATGCAAATAGAGCAAGAGCAGCATGCTGCATATAAAGACACTACACGCACAAATGCTTCCTCAGGGCCAACTGTGTTTTAGTTCACATTTTCTGTTCATTCAGTTTGTGTTAGTCATTAGTCATGACTTTTTTATGCATTTGTTCGTGTGTGTACACCTGTCATAACAGGGTTAATGTGTGTGTTGATGTGCGTTCATTTGTTTAAGTGTCTTAGTTGGCGAGCCTGCAGGCTGGTGTTGCAAAAGTTATTTTGTTGCTGTTGCATTAATGTTGTAGTAGTTAATTAATTCTTGTATGTTGACACATGTGTGTATCAAGTTACAAATGTGGCCGCTGTGTATACCGACGTGGATTCATTATCATCAGTACTTCTTAGTCGCGACCACAGAGGTCAGCAGTAATTGATTCCCTCTGAATGGAAGCTGAATGAAGCATACAGATAGACAATTACACAAATGGATGTGTGAAACAGTAGAGGTAGATGTGTAAACACAGAGACACAATGTCTCTGAAATTCATGTAGAGGATAAGAGCTTGTACCAGCTTTCATAGTACACTCCATTACATCATCTTTCAAGATTTTTTTCGCAGTTGTTTTTCATCAAATGCATCTCACAGCTTTCATCCAGTGCATTCATTTGCTTGTTGTCATGCGTGTGATCGAGATGGATGTCTTGGTCTAAATGTGACTTTTTAAAACAACACTATATTCATTATTATGTGTGGACAAGCAAGTTAGAGTTACAGTACTTCTCACATTTCCAAATGCTGCTTTAGTTCAGCATATCAATCACATCTTAGGGACCAAAATAGCCCCGTTTGGAAATATCAAGAGACACATTATCTACAAGGCTAATCAGTTTCTCAAATGTTTTCCTCATGCACGTTATCCACTTGATATTTCTCCTGTCATACCTTGTGATGTTGTTGCTGCATCTTGAAGCAGCAGCAGGCTCAGATATATTTTGCTTCTTTTTTTTTTTTTTTTCATCTGCGCTGAGTGCATGTTGTGACCTTGGCCTCTGACTGTCTCGTTGTGTCTGTTTTGACACATGACAGAAGCTGACAGAGGAGAAATATGAGGTCACGAGCTCCTTGCCTGAGGCGGCCATCTTGGTACGAACTACAACAGAGCCCAAACTCACGCTGACGATTACCCTCACCTCGCCAGCCATGAGGGAAGATGAGGAGGAAGAGGAGGAGGAGGAGGAGGAAGAGGAGGAGTTGGAGAATGGCGAGGAAGGGCAGGAGGAGGAGGAGGAATTGGAGGATGAAAAGGAGGAGCAGGAGAGGAAGAATGGGCGAGGTAGGAACACAGAGATAGACAATTGCACTCGCTGAACATCCTAACAAGCAATTCCATGTTATATTGTATTTTTTCGTGATAGAATTGTTTTTATTTCCCTCAAAAAAAGAGGTATGACCTCATTAACGGATGCTGATACAAGACAAGACAGTGACAGTACAGGACGCATACCAGAGCTGAAACACACGGGAACTGTCTGGTGCTCAGTCTAATAACAATCCCCCCCCCCCTCCCCCGTTTTCATGGGTAGCAGGAACTGATTATAATTGGTTGTGGGAGGTGGGACGGGGAGGCAAGGCCAGCAGGCCAGCAAAATCAATAACCGAGCAGTAGCAAGCTGCCCATCCATCCTGTGGCACCCGTCCAACTAGACACTCAGGTCTGAGAGAGAGATGAGAGATAGCACGAAGGTTAGCTGTACATCAAGCCACGTGCCACGGCATGACGGAGGAGATGGCTCGTATTTTTCTGTCTCGCACAGAAAGAACGGCACATCGTGGAGAAGCAACACACACACAGTTGTACATTGCACCCGAAGGATAAAGATACCTGTCGCACTGGATGTCTAATTGCTCAGATTTCATCAGGACCCTGTGGAGGTTGAGGGATGTGGGCCAGTCTGTCTAATAGGGTCACATCGTAAAAGGCAGGGTCTAATGCTTCTACACATTAACACATGCATCGACAGGCACAGATGCCAGTGTCAGCACCTCTTCAAGCCTTCTTAAAGCTACGACTGCTCGTGTCTGGTCAGAACTTTACTAGCAACGTATTAGAGAATCTGTAAATTATTTCTTAAAGCTACACAAGCTCATGCACAACAACATGATACACTCATTTAATAAGAATAAAAGCTATGCACCAGAATGCTTCAGTGAGCTGTGGCTATTTAAAGGCTGTTAGATGGATTGATTTGACTTCTGATTTGACGTTAGGCAATTCATATATTGATTTAAAAATAGTGCTGGGTCATATTATCTGCTACTGTAATCAATCACCATGTGAATCAGGGTTATTCTGATTGTAGTTAGGTACTGGATTGATCATAAGTTATTACATGTCTCTGTATCCTTTAAAGGAACACTTCACCCTCTGAATGACCAGTTGTGTATCAATTACTCACCCTGTGTTATGTCGAATTTGTGAAAAAAACTTTTTCTTGCATGCCTTTGGTGAACAAAGAATCCAAAAATGGAGAAAGTTCTTGATGAATTGAAGGTACAGGGGGCCATGTTTAACAACACCAAAACTATGTCAAACTCTAACACAACTTTTGCAGTGTATAACACACCGAACTGCACAAAAAGTGAAATGTATCTAGGCTCTCTTCAAAGCCAGGTTGCACTGACAAGAGCTGTTTTTTACCTCGCTGAACACAGTAGCTGTTGGTCTACCACTGCCTCCATCAATCAGTTCCTGTGTTCAGGGAGGTAAAATGACTGTTTTTGTCAATGGAGTCTGGCTTTGAAGAGACCATAGATAGTCCTCACTTTTAGTTCACTTCACATCTCTTTGGGAAGTACTGAGCGTGCAACTGGATAAATGAGACTGGGATTATACTGCATGAGTTGCATGAGAGTTTGTAAACTGATGTTCAGTCAGGAACAGTTAAGTCAAAGAACATTTCCATTTGCAGTATTATATTTGGCAGTATGGCTCTGTGATGGGGCCTCTTTGTTTTTCCTCGGGCCTTCCCAGGAGGCCTCTTCCACGCGCCTATGTGGAAAGCATAAGGCGGAGGGAACACACCTCTTTGCCCTTCCATGTGCCTGCGTAGAAAGCCTTGAGACAGAGGGAGCCCTCCCTGCCCTTCTATGCGCCTACATGGAGAGCCTAAGGCAGGGAGAGCAGCAGCAAGGAATCATGTGATCAATCATCTGCTCCATCAGTTGATTGGGCTGTTTGAGATCAGCTGATGTAGCTGGGATAGGAGCTGAGCTTGACATCATGTCCTGCCTGAGCTAATGCTATGCTAAGTTTTTGATATAGTATTGCTGTTGTTAAAAACAGACCCCTATGACTTTAGTTTATCAAGATTTTTTGGATTCTTTTTTTACTGGAGGCATGTGAGAAAAATAAGTTTTCTTCACAAACTCAACGTTACCACAGGGTAAGTAATTGATATACAAATGGTCATTTTTGGGGTGAAGTCTTCCTTTAAACTCAGATGCAGCTCGCCACTTTGTGGTCACAGAGGGGGGGCAGTAAATTAGAGGAGAAATGGTAGCAAAGGGATTTTTAAAAAAATCAGACTGAAGGAGAGGACAGGCGTCAGTAACACCGGAGGAGATAATGATAAAGTAAGAGTGCTGAGTGAGTGAGGGAGCGGCCAGCAGAGCATTTGAGAGAGCAGCGGGAGGACAAGCAAGCAGGAGAAGAAAGACTATAATGATCCACTAGCAGCAGAGCATTCCCACACAGCTGGGATCACTCTGACAGACCTTAAGATAGGCCATTATACATCACAACGAAACATAAATACACACACTGCAGCGTGTACTAGACAGAGGAAGAGCTAAGCTGCAATAATGGCGAGATGAGTTCAGGGATAATGTGAGACGGATGTTCTCCTTCTGCTACACATTGGTCACATTTGACATTTAAACTTAAAACCTCTTCAGGGAAGGATTTTTCTTTTCACGGGAGAGCGATGAGGAAAATATTTACCTAGTTGTGTTTTCATAGAGACCCCAAAGGGCTCTTTAGTGTGTTTTATGTCACTTCCAGTAGGTCCACACACAATAAACCCTCTTCAGAAACCCCATGTAACCGCACTCATTCATACACAGCTGCGTTTGATTCAGCTCGCCTTGCATATCATAGATTTTGTGCTGATTCTGAAGTACCAGAACTCATTGTGAGTGAAGTAACTCGAGTGAAGTCCCGGTGTGCTTGGCGGCATGAATCAAACGCTTACATATAAAAGTGGAAGAATGCTCCTTTTTTTTACCAACCACAATGCTCTGACTAAACCCTGCCTTGATCCCTCCTGTGTTGTGTTTGTCTGAGACTGGGTCAAACTATCTTAGATTTTTATTTTTTTTTTTCTTTTCTTTTCAGTTCTACTTTAGGAGCGCTTGATTGTGTGTTTGCCCAGACAGGGAGTTGAATTGCTTTTTTCTGCATCATTTCTCCATGAGCCAGTGAAATCAAGTGCACCTTAAGTAATCCAGAAGAAAAACAAACTCCTATTTTGACTCCTGCCTGGCGCAGACTGGATCAAAATAAATAAAATCCTCCTCAAATACATAAAGGAGAGATTGATTTACCTTGCTGGGCACAGCGAAATGAATGGACGTGTCCCAACAATGCCCACACATTAAATCAAACACTCCTTAGGTATTTGTTTGGTGTATGTCTGTGAGGGGCTCTCCATCCCAAGAAGTTGTCTCTTCTCTTGTGACCCCGGTTGCTCCCCCTTTCACTGATTCGTCAGTGACCGGATGGATGTAAACTACGAAATCGCTGTTGAATAGTGTGTGTAATTTTCAACACATATACAAGGGAGAGTGCATCCTGTGTTACAATGTGCTAAAGATGTCAACATGTGATGCAGTTAACACATGTTAGACTGATCACAGTGTTGAAAATGACACACCGTTTAAAGAGTGAGGAGCTTTTTTCCTGAGCATTCATCACAGATCTGTGACCTGTAGAGAGTCAGCGCTTTCTACAAGGAGAGGAGCAACTTCATGGCATGAGAAAGCACCTTGTATGTACCAAAAAATATCCATGCATGTGTGTGTGTATGTGTGCATTCACACACACCGCTCCAAGCGTGTCTGCACACATTCACACACGCACATTTCAAACACACACACTCAGACGTGACGTGTGTGTGTTTTACGTTCTCTATATTGGGTTGTTATTGTTTTGTGGCAGTGTTGGGTGCTGCTGCGCAGAGAGTGGAGGCTGAGGAGGAGGAGGGGGAGGTGCTGGATAGACACAGATGTCTGTTGGCCCTGGCAGCGCTGCGACACGCCAAGTGGTTCCAGGTCGGCACCCACTCACTTCCTGTCTTCCTGCCCGATGCTTATTGTAGCCTGACGATTCAGCCAGAGGGGATACACTCACTGACGGCTAATGCTGTGGTGCTTATTATGCCAACTCGGAATAGGCTAATGTAGAGTAGATAGAGGTGTGGACAATTTACGCATTAAAATAAAGATTAATTTAAATGTTACAATTGAAGGCAGTATGGCTAAAACATGGTTCTATGCTTGTTCATCTCCAGTTCAGTTTAAAGGATATCATAAACAAAAATTGACAACTATTACACATCAGTTCTTTCTCTCTTTTTTCTTTAAAATTCTACTTTAAAATCTTTAAAATACTCCATTCGCTGTACATGAACTGTAGAAAAGATGAACATAAGATGAATCGTAAGGCTACAAAAGCAATGGTTGATACTTGTTTTTCTTTTTGGCTATTATGTGAACCTGCCTGCTCTGTACAGTATGTCAGTGCTTCCCTCTGATTCCCCTCCCATACCCTTCCCCATCTATCTCCCAACTCACTTACCTTACTGACAAAAAAAAAAATACGAATTCAGGTATTTTCTGAAGACAAAGCCAAAACTCAAAGAAATATTTTTAGTAAACCATGTTAAGTAAACTAAATTCAAAATGTCTAGTGTCTTAAATCAGCATATTCCTTCTCTGTGGGGTTTTAGACAGATACAATCACTTCTATCATCATGTGGCTTTGTGGTGTGAAGCAGGCTGTTTATCTGTGTGTGTTTGCACAAATACCACTCGTCCCGCACTCAATTTCTTCCTCTTTCTGTGTAATCTTCCTTCTTGCATCCCTCCTTCTTTCCTCTTCTCTCCCCTCTCCATCCCCTCCATCTCTCTCAGGCTCGAGTGAACGGGCTCAAGTCCTGCGTTATCGTTCTCAGGATACTTAGAGACATGTGCAATAGACACCCCGTCTGGGAACCTCTCAAGGGATGGGTGAGTCTTTTGCTGTAATTACCTGTGTTTGATTGTTAATCCTGCGAAATGAAAAGAAAGTGTTCGGCCTTCTTGAAGTTTTCTGCAGTTTTATGGTGGTATTTGCATTATTCTAAAATGCCCTCCATCTCCCAGCTATAATGAGAAGTTCGGATTTATATTGAAATTTGAAGCACTTGTGCTCAAAAGTAATCCATAAGTGAAGTGTGTGGCTTATATAAAGCTGATGGATTCTGATGCAGAGTCCAGTGCACATTATGAAGTCTCATTAGGATCTGATTGACAGACGTGGTGTTAATCTTATTATTAAGAAAGATGAATTAATTCTAGTGAGAAAACCACAAAATTTATTAGGTAAATACATTTAAGCAACAGATGGTGATGCATTTTCTGAATATCAATTCAAGTCCATGCTCCATGGGTTTAATTTCATATACTGTCTGTACTGTGTAAAAGGGGTAAATAGCTTTGCATTAGGGCTGCAACTAAGGGTGCATTCACACCAGTTCGAATTGGCGGGGAATGCCGAAAACGTCATGCAGTTACAACAGCTGCGGGTTTGGGGGCGGTATTGCCTGAAACGACCACTGACCAGGAAGGAAAAAAGCAATCATCAATTGGCCAGGACCGAAAACGGATATCCATCCCCTTCAGTCGTGGACCTTAATATATTGCTGTCGCAGTTTTTTTTTTTACCTTGATGCGATACTGATCCACCGATGAATTAAATCAGCATGCCGTGATCCTCTCGCTAAACAATTTAAAACTGCTTCTCCCGGTTTGCGCTGTTGGCTTTTTTTTTCTACCCAAAATGCACTGCGCTCTACGTCACATCTTCTATTTGGGTCACTTCCTGTCTGTGGTTCACTGGATAGTCCGTTTGCATTCCCCACTGTAAGCGAACTACACCAGGGTTCACCTGCAAGTGAACCGGGACCCCCAGTATTCAGGCGGACCAGGGATCGCTTGTTTGGTCCGCACCAGAGTTTGAATGGACCACGGACCAAATAGCACCAGTGTGAATGCGTCCAAACAGTTATATTCAGTATCAAGTACTCTGCCGATTATTTTCACAATTAATCGATTAATCATTTAGTCTATAAAATGTCAAAAAAATGTGAAAAGAGCCCAAAATGATGTCTAAGAAAGGCTTATTTTGTTAAACCAACAGTCCAAAAGCCAGAGACTTCTCATTTACTATCATAAATGACAAAAAAGCGGTAAATTTCTAAAGCTGGCACCAGCAAATGTTTGACATTTTTCGCTTCAAAAATGACTGAAACGAGTAATTAGCTATCAAAATATTTCAGGATTCATTTTCTTTTTCATTGCAGCTCTTCTTTGTACAGCACCTCAGTTTCTTGTTCATGTTCATCAGTGCTTATGTGTTTGTGTGTTCTTGCAGCCTTTGGAGCTCATCTGTGAGAAGGCAATCGCCACCTGCAACAGACCTCTCGGGGCAGGAGAAGCCCTGCGTCGAGTCATGGAGTGTCTGGCCTCAGGCATACTGCTACCAGGTATGAAGCCGTGGCAGATGCATTATTATAGAGCTGGAAAGATTAGAGAAATCAACAGAGGAGCATGTGTGTGTGCAAATGAAAATTCTTGGCACCCATGGCGAGGAAACACGCTAGGTTTTGGGTAGATGATTAGATATGTGGAGTCTGTGCTTGGTACATTTCTGAGCCGTTTCTCCGAGAGAGGTCGAGGCATCATCGATCACCCAGCAGAGCACAGCTGTCTGAGGAAGGTCGTCATTACGAGAGAATCTTAATTAGGAGCAGCTGAAGGGTTTCTTTACAAAAAGCTGTGCATCCTTGGCCAAAATCCAATTATTCGAAAGTATGTGGAAGCTGAGTTTCTTCTTACATAATTTTTAAAAGATGTAATTTGGATGCAAAAGCCAGTTATGTCCTTCTAGATCGAAGCTCCTTAAAGTCCTCCTTTAGAAAGTAGAATAGATCTTTTTTCATTATTTAAAAGCAGAAAAGAAGAGTGTATATGAGCTTAAAAAAATGCAAATTAAGACTTGAATACAAACTGCTCAAGTTTAAATTTATGGGGAAAAATGTGCCGCACTAGTAGGACAATATTTTTCACCCACAGTATTCAATTGAATACAAATATGGCACAATTAGAGGTGGAGGATTTGTACCTTTTAAATTAAGTGACTGGTTTGAATATCTCACAGCCAGTTTGACCATTTCAATTCTCCTGCGGCTGGTGTCCGTTATAGCAGTCAGGATTTCCGCTGTCGCTCATTTCATGACAGTGAAGCCTCAGTGAAGCCTAATTAAATGTTGCTGAGCTGCAGTGTCAGCATGTAAAGTGACAACAACTGACTTTGTGTGTGTGTGTGTGTGTCTGTTGTCTTCCCCCAGGTGGTCCAGGTTTACACGACCCATGTGAGAAAGAGCCAACAAACACACTAGCCAACATGACCGATCAGCAGGCTGAGGCCATTACCTACCGCGCACAGGTACATGCACACACACAGACACTCACACGTCAGCTTAAAGACACAGTTGTTATCACCCAGCTGCACTTGCCCTGAGCTGTCAGTGTGTGGGAATCAGTAAGCAACACGCCTATTACCAGACAGAAAGACCCCATCATCACCCCAACCACGCAATCTGCATGCACACACACATTCACTTCCACGAGCGTGCATGCACGTCTCCAGAAAGAGCTGTGTGGTTCTGCATTTTAATGATTGGTGTGGGAAACTATTGCCATTGCAAGCCATAAATCCATCTCTGACACCCCGAGGACAGTATTTGTGTGCACGCACTGTGGGCGTGTGGGCTGTCATGTCCTTCTTCACACACACACTCGGCTGAGCAGGGCAGCCTCTGAGCCGCATGGCTTAGTGAATCCTGCCGTCCATTTCCTTTGAAGGCAGCAGGAACGAGGCAGGAATGTCAATGGGGATAATTGTATTGGAGCAGATACAAGAGCAGATAGAAGAGAGGGAGCTGTTCTGTCAATGAGCTACACCGGGCCTCATGAATATCTGAGACACTCTACCTCCCTAATGGATTTGTGTTAGCAGGGCCTCTTGTGTGCCATTCTGGTTATCTGTCTGATTGTTTGTGTAGATTGAGGATGTGTACATTACATAGGAATGACGAGTTCATACACGGACACACTGGTTAGTATATCTGCTGGTGTTACTGATACTAAAGGGTAAAAACATTTTAAAGCATGTCTTCTCTTTTTGTGTACAAATGTGTGTGTGCAAGCTGTGATGTCATTCATGGATGCACAGATTTGGTCATTATTTGGTGCTTATTTACTTATGTCTTCTCTTTTTGTGTACAAATGTGTGTGTGCAAGCTGTGTTGTCATTCATGGATGCACAGATTTGGTCATTATTTGGTGCTTATTTACTTATACAACTTTGGACATGGCCTCCTAATATTTGGGAAGATGAGAAACATTACATCAGCTCAAATACACCATTTTAACATCTTGTCTTTCTCAGTTTTTCAACCTGAATTTACCACCTCCTGCTTTGTCCTATATCAGCATAACAGCTTCACATCACATCCCATTTAATGAAAACTGCAACAGTATTTCAGAACAAATTCACATTATTGATTCATCATTCTGTTCGTGAGGGAAGATGCATCACAACAAGACTGCTGTGAAAACAGAATATGTGACTGCATGTCTACAAATCTTCTGGGATACATGTAGCAAACTGACTTTACATTGGTCTGTGTTATCACTTTGAATTTATTTATTATTAATAAAATGTTTCAGGATCATGTTTAACTTTAGATTTGAAAAAACATTCTGCTTTTTTTGTTTGTTTTGTTGGGGGGTTTTGCAAACTGGTGTTGGTGGAGCTGCAATGATTAATAAACTAATAATCGATTAGTTTTCAACTGTGAAATTCATTTGAAAACCAATGATTCAGTTTGAGTAATTAAGAAGAAGAGGCAAAACTCCCTGATTCGGGGTTCTTAAATGTGATTATTTATTGGTTTCTTCACTCCTCCATGGCAGTAAACTGAACATTTTTATGTTGTTGACAAAACAAGACATTTGAGAATGTCATCTTGGGCTTTGGGAAATATTTCATCAACATTTCATCAACATTTTCTGACATTTTATAGACCTAACAACTAAACAATTCATTTAGAAAATAATCAACAGAATAAATGACAATGAAAATAATCATTAATTGCAGATTTATGAAAAAAAAAGTGGGCATTTAGGAGGCAGGGTATGCCTCCATGCTGTTAAGTTGCATTATGGGAAAAGTAGGATCCAATTTTAAGTGCTATCATTGTATATTTTCAGTACAATAATTGATTGCTAGAGTGCCTATATATATAATCTGGTGAAGCGCTTAAAGGTGTTAAGGCAAAAAATGATACACTTTCATACTTTTGTTGCAGATTTTATTTGTAAAGCGTGGGAGAGAAGGCAGAATATTCTGTTTAAAGTCTGAGCCGTAAAAGGGGCTGTAATTATGTATGAAATGAAAAAAAATAATAATAAGAAGAATAATAATGTACACTGCAACTGTACTTTTTTTTGGTGTCTTATAAACCCATGAGGGTTGGGCACTTTGTGCATGACACGTAAATAAAAATAATCAATCAATCAATCAATCATACACTTTAATGTGTGTAGTGAGTCTTGGCTGCGGTGGTACAGCTGCAGGGGATGCTGGACCAACAAAACACAGTGGGAAGTTGAAACAGAATCAACTATTGGAGAAACGCAACCTGACATAATGCCATGGTGGCCAATTACGTAACCGGGCATCAGACACTAAGATGTCCACAGGAACACGTACTACAGTCTCTTTCTATTGTTAGATGTTATAGTAAGTAAGAGAAATAACGACAAGGGAGAGCTCTTGTGTGGTTTGTGTGTACACTCATATGTCTTTTGTGGCGGTAAAGATAATCCAGTAATGATCTACAGATCCAAAAATAAATACTCATATGCTTAGATGGGGAGATTGGCTTTCTATAGTTGGTCTCCTCCACTCCCCCACAAATGGGCCATTTAAGTGACATTCCCACACCACCACACTGCCGCTGAACGTGGTGTGAACACAGCCTACGGACTAAAATGTTGTATTTCTTAAGTTTAATTTTACTGTTTAAGTTTATAGCAAGTTAAAGAACATAATTTTCTCTTGCCTTGCCTATGGACATTTCCTCCTACACACCAGTGCATCATCCTTCACAGTCCAGATTGGAGTTCCTCTTTGCCTGAAAGCAACAGTAAATAGTTTGACTCTGTTAATGTCCATACTGTGAATGAAGTTTGAATCTGAGTCTTCTGCGTCCAACAGCATGCTCTCAGACTCATGGCGTTCGGACAGATCTACAAGGTGTTGGAGATGGAGCCTCTTCCCTCAAATAAACCCTCGCAGAAATACCCGTGGTCTGATAAAGAAGGTCTGTCTTCTGTCCAATATATCCCCCATATGTCTGTGTTTCTGTCCCTGTCTGTATGTGCTTGATCATCTGTCTACTCAGGTTTTTAGTCTGTACGTATCAATTTTCACTCTGCCTGTGTGAAAGCTTGTGTGCTGGTCTGTTATTCCCACATGAAACCTGCAGCAGAGAGGTTTCAGACATAGGTCGGACTTGCTATCAAATGTTTTTGCACAAGACGTGACCTTTCTGGGTGCGTTCGATGTTTTTTTACCCCCACACCAGCACTGACAGCACTATCAATATCTCTGAAATGTTCAGCAACATATAGATATCATGTTCTGATGTCTTGTTATTTGACAGTGTCGCAGCAAAAACATGGCTGCCTTGCTTTTGTTCACCCAAGAGAAAGTTGGCAAACTCTCAAGCTGACTTTCATGACAAATCGACTCAAGGCCTCTTTGGTGCCTCGTGATGCTGACATGGAAAATTGCCAGAGCATTTACAGATTAAGGTGCAGCCAGGAAAGGAGCTTATATGTCTTCCTCATTGTTTGCTGGTCTGCCTGTCTGTTCTGTTTATCTTGTCTGTGAGTTTATCCATCTTTATGCTGCTTCTTACATAATGCTTGTTTGTTTTACCTTCCTTTCTTTCTGTCTTTCTGTCATACACATTCGCCTTAGTGTGCGTTCATATAAACATCTCTTGTAGCCACTGATTGATTAGTAATTCTCTCTGTGTTTCTTCCTCTTGCTTTCACTCCAGGCTTAGGTCTCAAGAGGCCATATGAGGACGGAGGGATGGATGACAAGGACCTCATCAAGAAGATGAAGAGGAATCTGAGGAAAGGTACGGGAAGGAAGAGTACCTTTCATTACTATTATTCTGTTTAATCACCCAGTTATTTTAAATACAGTAAGAAAGGAAGCTTCGGATTCCCTTTATTTTCATTCAAACCTCTGCAAACAAAGCAGCACAATGCTTAGAGATGGGAGTCATCATATTCTGTTGTCTACAGACAAGCCTCACTTCTCCCTGTCTCTATTTTTTCCCTGTCTGCTTCTCTCCCTTCCACCTTCCTTCCATCCCTTGGAGGCAGATCAATAGTATTGATTGCTAACGTTTTAGTAGGCCACCCAACCATCCCCGGCTCTTTCTTCACACAAGGAGAAGATGAACCACGACTAATGGAGACAGAGAGGCATTTTTAGATATTGGCAAACAGGAGGAAAGTGATTGAAAGAGAAAGAAAATAGAGAGGCACCTTTTATTCATCATGAAAACAACCCCAGCATGGGGGCTGAAAACCTTTAGAAAATGTGATTTATTAGGTACAGGATCTCTGGATCGGCCCAGTCTGTCCAATTCCGCCTGGATAATTGGTACACCTTCTACAAACCCTTTTTAAATTTCTCCCAATATGCTCTACTTTCTACTGTAACCATACCCCCCTCCATTTTTTTCCATTAGTCCTAGACAGTAAAGCCATAGACTCCAACCAGCCAATGAACGCCCTGATGCGGTTGAACCAGATCCGGCCGGGGCTGCAGTATCGCCTGCTGTCCCAGTCGGGCCCGGTTCACGCTCCGGTCTTCACCATGTCCGTGGATCTGGATGGAACCATTTACGAAGCATCTGGGTCCTCCAAGAAGACCGCCAAGCTCCACGTCGCTGTCAAGGTAAGGAAGAGTGTGTGGACAAACATATTCGGACAAACTGTATACAGAATAGAACAATGATTAAAGACCCACTAATAAAGGAAAGAGAGATGGATGATTCTTCTTTTGGCTACCTAAAGTACCTTTTAAGCTCCAGCCGCAGCCAAACCTGTGCGTATCTGCAAATGTGTTTTTGTCTCTGGATGCCTATTGGTGTGTGTGTGTTTGTGTGTGTGTGGGTCTGCAGAGAGATGGAGGTGGGCAAATCCATGTAATCCCAAAGTGGTTGTGAACAAAGAGGCTCTCTAGAGCACAGAGCCGGGATAATCCGCTATCCGCTCCATTCCCATAAAAGGCTCTTTCTCCCCCTTTTCCATTCTCCTTCTCACTCACTTTCTTTCTCTCATGTACTCACCTTTTGATCTCCCCTCCTCTGCCTCACTTTCTCTCCCTCTCTCTGCGCTGTACTCTCCCACTGTACTGGCTGGTTCAGTGGCTGTAACACAATCACCCATTTGGGTCAGAAACGTGTCATTCTTCTATTCTCTCCGTGTGCATATTGTTCTGAATCACTTTGCCACTCTGTGTGCTGTCGAGGACTTACAGTAGACTCTGTACAGCCAGTGTATCATAATGGCTTATTGTAGGCATTGTGTGAGTTAGATTAAACTCTGTCATGTCAGTACATGCAGTATGCTGCAATATTGCTGCTTCTGGTAGAATTATTTTGTAAGAATATACAAATTTGTGTCATCAACACGGTGGAGGGGTGACGGATGTGGTTGTATTTCCTGTCTGTGCACTGCTTTTCATTCTCATTGCCCTTGGTAGCAGCTCTCTACCTTTATGGCTGGTGACACCATTAAATTCTGTTTGAAACAGAGGCATTGCACACATTAATGTATCAGAGTGAAATCGTTTTCATATTGCAAAACCTGTCTCATCCCACTTAGTGTTTTATTTCAGCAGCTTAGCAAATAAATTCTCCAAGATGTTAGATCAAGGATGCTCGACTTGCTTTGCCTTGGGGCAACTTTTGCAAAATGGCAGGAGGCCAGGGGCCAGCTGCAGCAACTGGCATAGGTCAGGTGTAGGCAGGGGTGTGTCCAGGATTTGAGGATATTCAGGGCTTAGGCCAGACCTTTGTCAGGTGGTCCAGCTCTAGTTTGATGCTCTTTATGTACTCTTGTACCTTATTTACATTAAAAGTACAAAAATATAAGTTGGGTATCACCGTGTTAGATGGTTGACTGAGGACATCTCCATTCAGCTAGCTAAATAACCGCTTACACACCACTGTGCTAGACTAGATGACATTATATCTCGCTAACATGCGGCTTAGCCAAATATTCAAGATGCCCCCGACTAAGAATTTTCCTAGTCATCCAATAGTTGTCATTTAGGGCCATTAGTTGACTAGTCATCCGCATGTTTACGATATTAATTTAATTATTAAATGATATATTTTGGGTGGGGCAGCACAATGGTTTGAATTCAAGGTGTGAGAAAGAATAGTATCAGTAACAATGTTAACACTGTGCTACATTACAGAGAAATACAAAACCGTACTAATGAACCTTCATTAATATAGGCCTATATTTTATCTACAAGTGCACGTCACACACTGAGCGAGCCGCCTGTTAATGATGCACAATAGCAGCAAAATACAAGTTGTTAAATAAATATGATTGTTGTCAGAACAACTGTCATAGCATATGTCTGTTTACATTAAAACCAATAATGGTTCGGGTTTCAAATACAAATTTTTAGCTGTAGTTTTTATGCCTCTGCATGGGTGACAGCCGTGGCTGCAGGCATTATGTTTTCATTTGGCTGTCTCATTTTTGCGAGCGTGACATTTCAGGAACACCTTAAGTGAATTATTCAGACTTGGCCAAAACATCCACTTGGACTCAGCGATGAACTGATTAGAGTTTGGTGGTCAAAGGTCAAGCTCACTGTGACCTCACAAAATAAATTTTATTCCGAATTGGTGACTCCAATCTTGGGTGTCCACCTTGAAAATGTGCTGATTGCATAGATCTTCTCTGCTGTCTGGTTGAAGATGTGTGAAGCATCCATGTTTTAGAATATGTAGCTTCTTTACATCAACATCCATCCATACAACATTGTCTCCTGTTATTGCTATATATGTGTCTGGACAGACGTGGGTGTAAACTGTATCTGCAACTTGACTGGTTGGTGAAGGCGGTAATTCTAGTTTTTGTTTGCGGTTTCTTTCCTTCCAACTCCTTTTTACTTTATCATTATCTTCCCTTTCTAGGTTCTCCAGGCAATGGGCTACCCAACAGGTTTCGACTCAGACCTGGACCCCATGAGTTCAGACGAGAAGTCGGATGGTGAGGGGAAGAGTGAGACGTCATCGCACACTAGCAATAACCCAACACACTCCTCGGACAGTTCCAACACACTGGAGGTGAGGATTGAGAAACGTGCTGACACACTACTGCATACACTCAGTTTGAATACTTTTTTAAAGTCTAAGTTGCAAATTTTGATTTTAAGTAATTAAAATCTAATAGTCACTTTGGTTTAAGGTCATAGAAGGTATCAAAATTTTGTCACAGCTTCACCCTGCTCACATCCATGCACTTGCTCCATCTCTCAGGTTTACTGTCCGCAGTGTGCTTTCTAATAAAGCTATGAAGATGCTTTAAAATTAAAGTACTTTAATAATTGTTTCACTCCCCAGGTGCGAACTCAGGGTCCCATACTGACGGCAAGTGGAAAGAACCCCGTCATGGAGCTAAACGAAAAGAGACGAGGCCTCAAATATGAACTCATCTCTGAAAGCGGAGGCAGCCACGACAAACGCTTTGTTATGGAGGTCAGAGCTTCATTCACACACACTGACTGCCTCTGGGAAAAGATTAGAAAACACATACACATGTAAAAGAGTTTGGGGCCATGACATGTAATCAAAAATGATAGAAAAAAGTACACGTTAGCCAGGGGGAGACACCTACAGAGGGTAAGCCACACACACACACACACTCACACTCACACTCCGAAACAAGCTGATCACTGGTAGCGTCAATCAGTCAACTTGCTTCCTGGAGCAGGCCCGTTCTCTGTGGGGTGTGTTGTTTTCCGACATGCCTGGCTGCTCCGTCGCTCTGCTGATTGATTAGCAAGCCCGCTTGACAGCAGGCCATCGCTAAACAAGCCGTCCTGTTCAGCCAGACTCACTGGCTGAGTTACTGATGACTGATAAACACACCGAGTTTGGGGCAGAATTGGTGTGCGATTGATAGTTTTGACAGGGTTATAACATGAAATATGACACCTTGAGTAGATATGATAATTAACACAGAAAATCCAATGCAGAAGTCTAATCATAAAAAATCTTTTGATGAATATTTCAAATTTTGTGTGTGTGTTTGTGTGTGTTCATGTCAGGTGGAGGTCGATGGGCAGAAGTTTCGCGGGGCAGGCCCCAACAAAAAAGTAGCAAAGGCCAGTGCCGCTCTAGCAGCTCTGGAAAAACTCTTCTCTGGTCCCAACGCAGCTGCAAACAAGAAGAAGAAGATATTGCCTCAGGTAAGGAGACACACACACACATACAGTACATACCAGACACAGAGGGTTCGGCTTCATTGTGAAGCATTTACGCACACAATATGAAATGTATAATCGAAGCAATCTGGTCCTTTCTTCCTTGAGAGCCAAAATGTCAGTGCAGATTTGAAGATGATAAAGTTTAAAGGTTTTCCTGTGATCAGTAATCATCTCTGTGGAGTCGCGGGATGATTTGTCCACCTTGTTCACCCATCAGTAATCAACAGCACTGCGTTTAACAAGTGTCTAATCAATCAGCTCAATACCTGACCAGTTATCAGATCACCGCTCCTCCACTTGTCAATGAGCCTGTGTGACAGGTTTGTGAACAATGAGGCCCATAATGCTTCAGAACAATGTCCCTGATAAGTGTGTGTGCTTTTATGCCTTATTTCTGCTCACCATATCCATACAGACAAACATCTGTGCATCTGTGTGTCTTTATACTATGTTTGAAACACACTTTTCATGTCATGTGTCTGTGTTCAGTCTAAAGGAGCCCTGGCCGCGGCAGCAGCAGCCTCAGCAGTAGCAGCTCAGGTAGCCAGAGGAAGAGGAAGAGCAGCACTCGCGAGAGGAGCCTTCGTCAGTGCAGCCGCACCTGGATATGTCACACCAGGTAGTGAGAGGATAGATGTCAAATTATTTATGCCCACATTTGTTGGATCCCCATATCAGTTTTTGACTTGAATAGTATTCTTGGCCCCTTATTTTCACTTTTAATCAGAATTTTATAGATATAACATACTATATATATATATATATAATATACTGTAAATGTTTAGTTTGTGCTTAACCTCCACACACACACACAACCCTATTGTGTGTGAATAAGTGAATGAACAGTGTGTAAATCTTCTTAGGAAGGAGTGTAACTTCCACTCAGGTCTTTAAACCCGAACCCACAGCTGTCCACTGCCAAAACACTCATCTACACTTACTGAAGAGATACTGAAATGTTACTTTGAATTAAACAAGTGCGCAATTGAATTAGACTCTGTAACCTCTTCTCCAACAGGCTTTGGGACACCGTATGGCTACAGCCCTGCTGCAGCAGCTGCTCCTGCGTACGGTACGTGCTCCCTGTTTGTTTTCCCTGTCAACTCATTTCACCGTCCTTATACGGTCTATAACCTCTTCACTTCTAATCCAGCATAACTGCTAAATATTTGTAGGCAAATTAATTATTAAGTAGGTTTATGTTACATCATAAGACCCTCTACTCGACTTCCTTTTGCTTCAAATTCCCTTCTTTTCTCGAACTTACTTCAAAACTTGATTCAGTCATGATCAAACAAATCTTACACTGTTGCCTCTTTGTTGTGTGCTCCAAGCAAATCTGTCTGTACTTTGGCTTTTTGTCTGCTCACCACTTGGTTTCTTAATCTGCTTGTTGCCACTCACTCCCTCATCTCTTACGGATCACTGCTGTCAGTTAAGAGCTGCCGTCAGCTTCAAGCTTTTACGCCAAAACTCCCAAAAACCAATCAAAAACATAATGACACATGGCTGCACTCGCAGTCCTTCGCCTTTGCATAAGTTGAATGAAAACAGAAAAGAGTAATAAACTCTAACATCAACTAACTATACAAGCTTTCAAGGACTTATAACGACCCAGACACGCTGCCTTTGCTGCCCTCATCATCATTTCTGTTAAGATTAGCAGAACACATAGTGTGAGTTCCTCACTTTACCCGCTGTTATTTAAGACAGGGTGGCGGGGGAGCTTTGCCACTGCAGTGCTGCTCCTGTCATGTTACCGCTGCTGAGGGGTTTCTATGTCCTTACTGCTGAAAGTGGCCACTGGGCTCTCTCACACACACGCACAGGCTAAAATCTATACTAGTCCTTGACCTTTAGCTGCGTAAGTATTGGTGCAAAACTCACTCACACATGCGTCCCCCTGTCACACCTTCGACAGACTTGGCCTTGTGTAGTGTGTGCACACATGTAGCATTGGGAGGCCTCTCTGTCCATCCTACAGCTTTGAGTTTGAATAGGTCTTATGTGCTTGGAGAAACTGATCTGGGGCCCCAGGCAGACGTCTAGTGCCCCCCTGAGATCCCAACAGCCTCATATATGAAGTGCGCCTTAGTTTGTCTGTTTATGGTGGAGCTGGATCTCTGAGTTTATTTGAGGTGTTTCGTTTCAGTCCCTGGCATCGGCACGCTTTTCACGCTTTTTATTGTGACTGCGGTGCGTACTGAAACCCTCAGAATTCAAAGGTAGTTGCTGCTTTCATTGAACTAGCAAGCTGTTAGAATTGGTTTTTTTTTATTTTATGCTTCTTATTTTAAAGTTTATTAATGGCCATGACATCTAAAATATTTAATAAAGCATTCAGTAGGCTGCTTCGTGCCCGGCCAGTAAAAAGCCTTGGCTAATAAAGAGGCGATTAAATGCCCTCTATCCTCTGTGGGGTTGATGAAGTAAAAAACTGTTGCGCACTGTGTGCACCTCTGCCCCGTGACTCACAAGCACACGTCACGCATCTTGGTGGGTGATCATTGTGAGTTCAGCTGACCCTGAGCTTTAACCTGAGCTGTAACCTCCTACATGAAGGTAGGAAGTTCAATTTGTGTTATTTGAAAAAGAAAATGGAATGGAAATGGAATAAAACTCAAATGAAATGCTTCATTCCCGCCAATTTGCGTCAACACAGCTTGTATGTTGAGACCTTGCTGGCTGGGGTGGTTTTTCGTTACTGTTCAGCTTCACTTTTTGCTTCATGGTTCCCAACATGTGACCAGAGACCCTGTGCAAAGAGTAAAGGTGAAAAATGTTTTCTTTATACACCCAGTTGACTTATAATGCTGAGCTGCAGATCGAGGGAAGAATAAGAACGAGAGATATGTTGTTTATTACACTAATAGTACTGTTAATATCCACTTTCCAGAATAAGAGGAAAACGTGTCCGAATTGGTAAAAACAGACTTTTTGTTGGTCCCACTGGAGCCTGTATTTCAGTCAAAAGAGAGAATAAAGGCACATGATAAAATTGGGAACTACTTTAAGCTTTTTTTTAATACAAAGCTTTCATCCTGTTTCCTGCTTTTCACTGAGCTGCGGCACACGCTGCTGCTTTGGGCTTTCTCGTTGGCAAACACTTTCTAGACTGCTGCTGGGCTCGGTAGAGCACCAGAACGTTCTGTGAAGCACGAATATCACATTGTAGGACGTGAAACACTAGATCATAGAGCACAGGCATGATATTATAGGGCACAGAACATTATGTTGGAGAACACAGAACAGGTTATCATGGAACATAGACATTATTAAAAAGCTTTGGTAGAATGACACATTTCCTTTACTTCACAGTACAAACAACAACTTCTTCTGCACAGCTGTCTCCTTTAAAGGATTGTTCCACTTTATTACTAGTTGGGTCCTACACTAGTAGTTTTGTCCATCATTCCTATCAGTAATTGCTGACATTTGGCAATGTGACATCACTGAAAAGAACCAAACCATAGATACGACAAACTTAAAAACACAAAGTAATCTGATCTCACAGAAATACGTGAAATGACCACAACCTCTTAACACCGCATTTGGTAATGGTGACATGTAATGTGTTATAGGTGGACTATACAGGATAGTTGGTTACTGTTTGTAAACGCACTCACCAGCAGAAGTGAAAGTGTGAAAGCCAACACCAGATTCACTCTCGTTACACTCTTGCTATATTTGCATTTTAAGGAGCTGTGTCACTTGGATGCCTGCTGCTTACAGTCTGGCACCTTGTCGCCATTTTGTTATAAAGCCGCAACCTCAGCTGACTGCTGTGGCGGTAATAGGGGTGGGGGAAAAAATCGATACAGCGTAGTATCGTGATATTTTTGTATGGCAATCGTGTCATCACATGGACGCCAAGTATCTATTTTTTTGTTATATAAATTATTGAGATTACAAATACAAGTTAAATGATTGGTAGCCCACTAGAATGATATAATCAAGTGCCTTTTCAGTCTACTAGATACATTTTGCTGCAGTAAAAATCATTAAAGTGTGATCTTATTAGATAAAACAGATGTTGATAAAGTTTTACTTTGGGGACAAAAAATTTATTGCAATACTCAGCATATCGCAACATGTTTAACATCTCAATAATATTGTATCGTGACTTTAGTATCCTGATTCCTACCCATAGGGTTACATACCCATAAACATCCTGAACACAGAAGATAAGAAGAAAGTAAGACACACACACACATCTAGTGGGTCATAAGTGATGATTGGGAGGGATTACTTCTAAATGAGTCTATTGTTTTTGTGAAAAAAAATATCCTGCATAGTATATCTTTAAAATTACGTCCCTGCACCACAAATGGTTGCAGTTTTTTTAACATGGTTAGCTTTAGGGGAAAACATTCTCGGTTAGGTTTAGTACAAGACATAACTGCGTCATCTAACATGACACTGTTGTATGTAGGTAGATAAAGTAAAACAGTGGCTCATGGGTGAAAGTCCTCTGTTTGTTTGACCTATCCACCATCCCACCCGCCCACACTATGCAAACTTTCTCGCTCTTTTGCTATTGCGTGACGTCCAGGGAATTTGTGTGTCCACCACGAAAAGTGATTTTTAATTAACTTTAGTGATGCCAGCACATAATTTTAACACATTACATGCCACTAACACTTAATGCTAATTAACTAGATGAATACAATCTTTTTATAACCGATGGAAAAGATTGCTAAAACTACAGAAAAAAGACCTAAGTTGTAATAAACTAATCCTTAACTTTGGGCTTTTCCTTTCTTCTCTTTCACTCTGAATCTCTCTCCTTCTCGGTCCCTCTAACCACTGATGAAGGATGTCACCTAGTTTACACGCTAGCCTGCCTGTTCTCACACACTCACATTCCCCCCCTTGGGTGCCCTATTTGTGTCTTGCGAGGGGTGTTTGTTGGACCTAGATGTAGCGTAGTGTGTAGTGTAGTGAGCATAGAAACACTTGGTTTATTTATTGCCCTGGACTCATGCAGAGCTGTGCTCTTCTCATGTCTCCCCTCTAGGTTTGCCCAAGAGAATGCTTCTGTTGCCTGTCATGAAAGTGCCCGCCTACCCCGTCCCCCACTACTTCTTTTAGCACAGGAGACACACACACACCAAACATGTTTTCATACATACCAAATGCTTTTTCCAAGCCGTACAGCTCGCTTTTATATAGAAGGGAAACTCAGTTTTGTTTTGTTTTTTCTACAATATCAATGATGGGGAGAGGATTAAGGACTTGAGCTGAAGATTTGTAAAAGCGTTGTTTTTTTTCCTCACTGTTTCCAGAAACTTTTATGGACATGAAAAAATACTGCAGGTTTAAGTTCTTAAGAGACAAACAAAAACTTGAACGATTTGTACTGTGAACTGTGACCTCATTCTTTGAGTCTAAATTATATATATCAGCCTTTTGTTATTGTGTTTATTTTTTTGCCAGGAAGAGGATATAGCCTTTGCAATATGATACACACAACACACACACACACATTCTCTGTAAAAAGGAAATAATAATGAGCTGTGTGAAGGATGTATAGGAATAAATAAATAATAATGTTAAATAAAGTTTATCTCCTATAAAAGCTGAGCGTTGCCTGGTGTATATCTGATTTTAAGGCTTTCAGCTGCTGGGGACTTGATTTACCTCTGTCCACCTGCACATGATACTGTGACCTTACATTTCAACATTGAGCTTTAATATTCCACCCTCATACATGCACACGGATTGAATTTCAATCTTTTCACGTACCTCAGGGTGTCTTGTCGCATCCCTTTGACCCTCAGCTTATAGATATTCAGAGAGAAAGGCAAGAAGACAACAGATGAATTTAGAAAGCTCTCATCAGATCCTGCATCTTGCATTCAGCTGCACGATCCCATTACCTTACATGGATTAATATTTGGCGTGTTTCCTGCAGCTATCAGAGGTATCACCTACAGTATATATGCAGAGCCTTTATAGGTTGTCATATAAGCTGACTTCAGCCTTTTGCAGCAGCAAGTTTAGAGCCTCAGTACATTGTCTTAGCTGAATTCAGTTGGCATAAAATGGCTGAAAACTAATAAAGCAGCAATAAGAGACCCACATGAATTAAAACCTCACTGTCAGTGTGTTTTATGTTGTTTCATTATATCAGTATCATGCTGTATTTATTGTTTTGCACGTTTCTGCTCAATTAAGGATCAGCACCAACTGAGCCGCTGAAACCTGGGCTCCAAACTATCCCTCTTGACTCGGTCTGTGTTTCAAATAAAGATTTTAAATATTTGATGACTTAATATCACAGGTGAAATAAATAATAAGAGGAACTTTGCTAGAAATTATAAAAAAACGTACTCCAACATGTTAGTCAGAGGTCAGCACCAGCCAAGACAGAGTTACGCTGGACCTTCACCACGTCTTGGTCATCCAGCCACAGCGAGAGATAACCCCTCCCCTGACGACGTCTCCATGGTTACAGCTATGAGGCGCAGCCATTGGATGAGAGGACCCAGTATCTTGTCCAATGGTTGGTTGAGCTCCATTGAGTTGTTGTAAAAACCTTTCAAATTATATTTGTCTGACGTCACCGAAGCTTTACTTCAATCTCACATGACTGAAGATGAATTTCCAGCTGTTTGAATTCTGTGTGTATTTACTGATGTTCTTCTGTTCAAGGTTGAATTCGTTATAAGTGAGAGCTGAAGCCCAAGAGAGAGCATGTCCATGTGTATAAATGTACTTTCAAAATGGCTTCACCTGTGTCTGATCTCATCTTCAGTCTTTACATGTTACATTTAATATTTGTGATGAGGCTTTTCACTCAGCTCCTTCTGGATATCCATGACTGGAATAGTTGTAGGATATTAAAGGAATAGTTTTGGGAAATTCAGTTCGTTGCTTTCTTGTCGAGAGTTAGATGAGAAGATTGATACCACCCACATGTCTGTATGCTACTTATGACGCTGCAGCCAGCTGGCGTAGCTTAGCTAGACCGGAAACGGAGGGAAACAGCTAGCCTGACTCTGACCACATTATATCTCATGGACAGAGCAGAGTGTTGCTGATAGGTCGATGTTTTTCCCCTGCCTTTGGTCTTTGTTTTAAGAAACTCACCATATCATGGCTCCAGCTCCAAATTTAAGGCTAGTATCAGTTTTGTCAAGCCAGTTTTAATTTATTTGTCCATTTCCTTCTGCTTACCTGGGAGCAGGTCATGGTGACAGCAGGCTCTCAGCAGCAATGTTTTTAAAATCCTCCTGGGTAATCTGGATGTGTTCTCAAGCCAGATGAGATATATAATCTCTCCAGTGTGTTCTGAGCCTACCTGCAGGGTCTCATTTTAGTTGGACGTGCCCAGAAAACCTCCTAAGGAAGGCGTCTACGAGGCATCCTGAGAAGATGCCTGAGCACCTCTCCCTGCCATATTGCTAAGGGTGAGCCCAGCCACCCTATGGAGGAAACTCATTTTGGCCTTCTAAAGCTTTTTGGCTCAGTTCCCTGCCTTCTAACAACTGTCAGCTACCACACCCATTAGTTCTGCTGACGCTGCACCAATCCTCCTGTCAGTCAGGCTCCTTTACCCTCACTCCTGAACAAGACCCAGGTGGATTGCGCCCGCTGGGTTGGGATTGAGTTGCTGCCGCAAGTGTAGAAGTTCAGGTAGTTTATTTACATAACTCAATGCCACAAATCACAAATTAGCATCAAAGGGCTTTACAGTCTGTTCAACACAGGATACCCTCTGTCCACTGACCCTCATTTCAGATAAGGATATACACAGTTTCAGTTCCTGCACAGACACAAGCTGACACACTTGGATCTTTTATACTTGGTGCAGTTTCTTCCCCAGGCAAACCGATATTCTCCCAAATTTAGGGGGCAGTGCAATGAAAACTCGCATCTACAGCATGGTTCTCCGTCCCAGTGGTTTGGGAGATGGCGAAGATGGTGGCACGCGCATGTGTAGCGGCTCTTAGCTCTCCTGTTTGATGCTTTTTGTTATGTATCTTGTTGTGTTTGTTGTTTCATCCTGGTGAGCTCTGCCAGGCTAAGCTTATGTATAGTTGACGGGATTTAATTAACATCAACCTACAAAGTAGCTCCTCTGTTATGAGCTTCTTTTAACAGATGCACAACATACCAGCAGATATCTCCTGATCACTGGGGTCTCCGTGGATTGTTGTCAACTCCAACAAGCGGCAAAGACGGCGTAGGAAGAGGAAACAAAAGCGTTGATGCCGAGCTGGTGTGCTAACTAGGCTAAAGAAGCAGCCACATAAACCCCCGCTCCCGTGCCTCTTTCTGGCCAACGTCAGATCCATTGCACACAAAATGAATGAAGTGGAGCTAAGGATTACTACTGACAAGTTTTTACAATTGCTATTCACATCCGCATTGTTAAAAAATGTGGGACGTGCACAGACAGGCTAAAAATCCGCCACAAAGGGATGTGTTCGATGGTGTGACGTCACTTTGGCCGTGCATCTATGCGTGACCCTCCCAGATGCATCAAGTATAAATCAAGCATCAAACAGGGAATAAAATGGCACAAAGAAAGAGCAACAGTGAAGTGGATCCTGCTCCAGGACATACAGTCAATGTCACAAATACAGAATAGACCCAAAAAGCAAAAATCAGGATGATAATGATAAAGAAAGCAAATAAGTGTATTTCCCAAAATGCTGAACTATTCCTTTAATTTAGTACTTGACATACAGTATAGACAAGTTTATGTAATGTTATTAATGCCACCCAGGGAGTAATCTTTTTTACTGGAACATCTCCAGGTATAGCTCCTCTTTCAGCCCATATTGTTGTCAAAGAAGTGAAGAAAGTTTGATATATAGTAGCCTCACATTGTGTTTAATAGATGTGTCTTTGTATATGCATAGCAATATCACCCCTGCTCTGTTTGTCTCTGTTCTTCATCTAACTGCAGGTGGTCTTTTCATTGACAATCCCTTCTACCAGCCGAGGACCATCGCTCCTTTTATCATTCATCTGGGTCCCCAGGATCTCTTCTCTGACTTCTAGAGGCAGCAGGTTATCGGATACACTCCCCACACTTACCTGTCTGTATACGCAGGACACCTGTTTTTCTGTCCGTCAAAGTGGACTGCCTTTCTATCCAGGTGATGGACTCACAGATCCAAAACTGTTTTCGTTTGATCAGTCCGCCAGGGGGAAAAAAACTTTCTGCCCAACAGCAGCAGCAACTATGTGACATACTGACAGAGAGGCTCAGAGCTCCTCTCTGTGTATCCTCCTCTCTCTCCCCCCAGATTATCACTTCAGAGGAGAGTAACTTTACACGAAGCAATACTCGGATTTTACGAGATACGTTCAGCTGCGACTGTGCGAGGCTGGGCTGAACTTCTTTCTTATAGCAATACACCAGAACTCCTCTCTGCGAGCTTACTTACTTGAGAAGATGTGAATGTCCGACGGAGTTTTACCCAACACAGCATTGCAATAGCTCATTCTGATTGTATATTCATTGTATGTGTGTGTACGTGTGGCTATAACATGACTATATACACATATATGTATGGTGTATGTTTCTATAACAATGTGTTGACAATAATATTACTATATGATGATGTATTTATGTAAATATTCTATAAAATATAACTATTGTTGGTATAAATTATTTTAGAATTATAAAGTGAAATGTAACTGTAATATCACGGTATAGCTTTCTTCCAATTTTATATACACTGAGCAATTGAAGCTAGTTCTAGGAGATGCAATATTATCTTTGGTATTCCTATTAACCTGTGCTGTTAGAATAATAATGCTTCCTTCTTTCCTTCCTTCAAACTTTTCCTCTATCTTTGATGTCTTTCTGAGCCTTTCTGAGCACGCTCTCTGCTGCCCGAGGTTTGTTTACGTGGCCCGGACCAGAGGTGCTCGCTACTACTGAACACACTCATCACCTAATCACACCTGCACACACACACACACACAAACACACACACTTTTCCTGTCAGAAAGCACATTTTCTATAGTCTCACTGCTGGCAGGGAATACTGTTGTTACAAATACAGTACTGTATGTGTATAGTATGTGTATACTCTGATGTACGTGCTGCTCCATTTACCATTCACTCATGTTAGCGGACTCACCCATCAACACTCGGAACAATCTTCAGCTCTGTCCCGCTCGCCTTAGGGACCAAAAGCACAGCTCACTCACACGCATTACTTTACACTCACACATTCACACACCCTTCCCTCCACCCTCCTATGGCAATCCTCTACTGTACAGACGTGAAGCTGCAGGTGACAGATATTAGTTGATTGTCAAGAGCCTTCCTAGACAAAGGGAAAGACAGCACCAACTAACTAATGAAAGGTATAGCCCAGGAAAAATCTCCAAAATTGGGACACTAAATTGGATGTCATGTCCCTTTCTTGGGAAGCTTGGCACATTTCAGTGGCTGGTGATGTCACCTAAAGGTTTTTTGAGGAATGGGGTTTAACCTTTGGTTGCCTTTGCCGATCACTGAAGCCAGGAAATTGGAGCAAAAGAAACCTGGCTGGAGCTGAAGTGGACTGAGGAAGTTTCAGTTAGGGTTGCACCGATCCAGAGTGCCTGAGTATTGGCAGCATCAATCTTGAATTTAAAACAATTCTAGTAAGTTCCACACATTGAGGATTACAGATTTGACATTTAGAAAAAAGACTCGTATCGGATTGGTACTTGGTGTTGGCAGATACCAATAGATTGTGTTAAAGAATGGACGTAGCTACCATTTTGTCACTCAGTGGATTGTGGGCTGCCACTTTGAAGTAGTTTGGCCGTTGCCATCTTGCTTTTATGGAGCCAGAAGTTACTATATTGGAATGTCTTAAGTGCTGTATTGAAGGCAACTGGACTTGCTTGAGTTTCTTGAAGATGTTTCACCTCTCATCCAAGTGGCTTCTTCAGTTCTGGAGTTCTTCAAAACTCCAGAACTGAGCACTTAAGATTATCATGACTTGGATGACTGAAAATCTTGATGAATATATATTTGGACAAGAGAGTGGAGCTTAAGAGCAGCATGGGGGGGATCTGACTCATAGACCTTGGTGACACCTGTCACTTAAGTGGCCATGCCCTTAACTATGTGTAACATCAAGCCTTGCGAAAATTAGCTATAGAAACCAAAACCATTTATTGTATCAGGCTGAAAACATGTTTATTTCCGCTGTGGAGTTGGACATTTTAACACTGGAGTCTATGGGGATTGACTCGCTTCTGGAGCCAGCCTCAAGTGGCCATTCAAGGAACTGCAGTTTTTGGCAGTAAAGCGTCAGCTTCATTTTTCAGACCCTGAGTTGAGGTTTTGGCATTGGGAGAGAAAAAGTTGGATCGGTCATCATGCAAACACAACACAAAACTTCTCTGTAAGGCTAAATATGCTGTCAATAGAACAGTGATTCTGGACATTTCCACTGCAACACATATTTGAGGAAGCAAAATTATCTTTGGAGATTGAAAAGTATATTTACTTTGTATTTTGAGATGAAGATCAGATCTTTTTAAAGATTTTAAGCCTCCTTATGCAGTTTGCATGTGAAGGCACCTCTGCACTGGCCTCAGCTGTCAGCCAGTGAGGAAACTGGAGTCTGGTCATCATTTTTAGACTCAAAATAGATGTATATTGCTTTGTAGTAGTTGACTGTATAGTACTAGTGTTGTGGGTTTAATGCTGCTATAGCCCTCATTGAATTAATGCAGGTAGTAATTAGACTGAGAGATGAGATATCCCATTAAACTGGAAAGTGCTTTGTGCATAACAATGTGTTGGGTCTAATTTTGGGGTATTGTTGGAGCCAAACAGGTGTCACAACACACTGAGATAGCAGTCAAAGCATACGCACAGTACTCACTCAGCGCTGTGTGGGATTTTTGCAAATTTCTGTGGTGCTTACATGCCGCTGAAAGCTCTTCATCAGTTTTTATTTTTTATTTTTAGCCCTTAATAGAGACAAGGTGTCAGTCAGCAGAGGCAAAAATTGAACAGAATGTGCATCAAAAGGCTTTGATTCTCCTCACGCTAGCCTTGATCTGGGCGCCAGTTTGATCTTGCGTGTTTGTGTCTGCTTTGATTCAACAAAAAGCACGTCTGAGAATGAGAAAATAGACTCGCTAAGGTCTATTTTTTAAGACAATAAGTCAGATTTGCGTTAGATTTTGTGACACCGCTGTGCTGACAGCGAAGATAATTTGACAAGGTTACTGAAGATGGGATAAAATGTGCCATCAAGCTGTGATTGGCAGATTGGAGGTTAACTGGAGGATATCCTGCGCTTCCTCCTCTTGTGCTTTGTGTGTTGGAGCGGTGGGGTCAAGCACACAAGCTCTCTGTGATTTATGTTTGAACAGTTGGTTCCTCAAAACAACTGGACTCATCCACACAGGGTGCTGTATGCGAGTCCACTGTGGTAGCCACTGAACTCCTCACAACAAATTTCTTTTGCTATTCCAAGCATTTCCCATCAAATCAAATACCACCTTTGGTCGTCTCATCTCACTGCAGAGAAGGACTGCTTTGCCATGACTTTTCATTCTCGTGTGGAATTCACGTGGAGGTGAAAAACTTGGAGCTTTGCTGTGTGGAAATTTCCCCTCTGCCCTCTCTCCCTCTGTCTTTCTCTCTCTGCCCCCGTCCTCTCCGTCCAGATGGCCCACATTAATAAGGCAGACAGTCATACCTCAGTGAGCAACCTTTTCATTTCCCCTCAGACTGAACAGACACACAGGAGGAGTCACCCTGACTACTGACCCTGTCCTCTTGGTCTGCTGGCTGGACGACAGCGTTCAAAGGAAGGGTGGTGGAGTGAGAGCTCAGGGATACGCGCTCGGTCTGGCACAGGCAGTCTGGTGGGACTGTAGAGGTTGGGGAGTTGTTGACTTCTAGTTAGGATGAGGTCTCTCGTGTGTGTATCTTGTTAGGCTTTACAGCGAGATGTGAGGGGAAATAACAGTTTACTGCTATCTGAAAGCCCCTCCTGGTTTGACTAAAAAGGAATATTCAAAGTATCCATGTTGTTTGTTGTCTCATAGGGATTAATGCAGGGAAAAAAAGAAAAATATATCTTATATTCTTGTTCTTGATTTAGGAAGATATATTGGCAGAAATGGATTATTGTTGTTTTCTTAAGTATATAATCACCTCAACATAAGAATAATAATATTTTTGTTACCTTTTGTTACCGCTGGGAGCAGGTCCTTGTTTATGGAGTTGGCCATATTGCACATGTCATGTCATGTTTCTACAGTAGCCCAGAATGGACAAAAGTTATCAGAGAAAAACAGTGAGCACACGTTAGCAGGTGCTGGGTTAGCAGCTCTTTGACAAGCCTAACTACATCAGACAAATGCTGATTTGAATGTGAAATTGCTTGGTTCAGTGTTTTTACTGTTTTAAATCACATGCTCTGTTTGTGCTGGAGAGGAAAAGACCTCTGTGGATAATTCGGCTACTGGTAAAGATCTCTCGAACATCTGGTTTTTAAGTTAGCAGAGAGAAGCGGTGAGCACACGTTAGCAGGTGCTAGGCTAGCGGCTCTCCTGGGACAAGCCTAACAGGATTGGAGAAACACTGATTTGACCATGAAACTGCTTTGATCAGTGTTTTAATCACCTGGTTTGTTTGTTTTGGAGAGGAATAGACCTCTGCGGATAATTCGGCTCCCGGTAAAAACCTCCTGAACAATGAACGCTGAAGGAATCCTAACAGCACATGCTTGGCACATGGGAGAAGTTAGCGTGAAAAACAAGGAGGAAAATGAAACTACTGCTGCTCCTTTCACACCCACATCAAAAAAAAGCTTTATTAAGAACATGCAGAAATAGTCAGATAGTTTCCAGCTGTGTTTCCTACTGCAGTGTCAGGAAGATGACAATTCCAGCAGTACTCCACTATGACATATCTCAGAATAGAAAACATTACTGTCAGGCATTTTTCCCTGAAGAAACACGCTCTAGGTAGCTCTGATTGAAGGCCTAGACAGTTATGTCCAAGTGGATAACTTTTCTAGAGAGTAATGGTTGTTTGTCCTGGACTTTGGTCCCGCTGAGTTTTCTGATGGATGCTCTTCCTGCTCCAGTGTTCCCCAGAAATGTCTCACTATGAAAGAGGGAAAACGTGGCAGCCATTGTAAACACACACACACACACACACACACACACACACACACACCGCCTCCCTGCATCTACACTTTCACAATCACCGCCTCTCTGTGGGCGTTCCACAACGACACCTGTAAATCTAAGAAGCACAAAGCACACACGAGCAATACACCCACACATCGTTCTCAGGGCCACCTGACACACACACACGTGTATGCAAATAGACTCACACATGTAATCGTATATGTAAATATTTTAGCATTCACCAACAATAACAGCCAAGCACATTGAGACAGCGTGACATTCTTTGCTCCGTGGTTTGTATATTACACATAAGATTGTACCGTGTGTAGTGAGAGTCACACAAGTGGTTATAGGCCTTGTTTGTACTTTTAGGATTTGAGCCATGCATAGCTGAAAAAACACATCTTCCCCATTTGTTATCTTGGTGCTTTGTAACGGGCTGTCTGTAGCACTGTATATAATGGATTTTACTTTTGCTTCTTGGAAAAATAGCAGTTATCTATGAACAACCCAAGCTTTGCTGACAGGAGAAAAGAGCTAGGAAGGAAAAGTTTTTTGGCACCAAACGCAGGAGCTTTGCGCGTTCAGATGCTGCAATATGTTCAGTGGTTAAAGGGTTCTGAGTGCTTTCGTTGCCAGGGAATGAAAGCTTTTTGGACTTTCTATTTGGAGACTGTCAAACCCAGTTTCCCTAAGGCACCTCTTCATCCCTCTGCCAGGTCAAAGGCCAGAGAGGGAAAGCGAATGATGCAGAGATGCTGCTGGGAAATGGGTTCTGGTTTGTTCCGCTGAATGGGATTTATCCAGACACCAAAGACTCTGAAGCCTTTGTTGCACAAATCTGATCATCCTTGCAGTCTCAGAAGTGAGAAATCATGTGGTATGTGATCTGATATTCACCGTCTAGACAGTTATGAAATATCAGGTGAAAAAGACGAATCAGATCTCTTGTGTGTAAGTGAAGGAAAAGTGTGTCTTGCTCATTCTTGCAGAGAGTTGGGTTTTAAGTCTGGGAATCGGGCTAAATTTGTCTGGAAGCAGAGGGAGAGGAGCTGCAGAAAGAGCCCAGAAAGACCATCCGCGAGCTGCTCTGAACTCTGCAGAGCGGCAGAAATAGATCCGAGATCATGTTTCGACTGCTGAGGCAAAGCGAACCAGACTAACTGCTGAACACATCATTTTCTGTCTGCGTATGTGTGTGTTTGTGTGTGTGCGCATGTGTCGTGTGTATGGAGGGGGAATGTGTGTGTTTGTGTGTTCGTCTGGCAAGCACATAAACAGGAGGGTAATGGGAAGCTATTTCACACCCATATGCACGCACACATAAACACACACTCAACATTGCAGCCACATTGAGCATGTTGTCACTGGTCATGATCCACTGATTGTTTAAGTCCAATATCCTCCTGATAAACGATCGAAGCATTTTGGTTGGGAATGTACACTGTTGTTATAGTGATTGTAGAGTAGAATGTATTTACTCATAGAAAGAGTAAACTTGCTTTTTTGTAGAGAAGCATATATACAGAATATATATGGATACATACATATATATACATCTATATATCTTTTGAACTACTTGTGTGTGAGAGTTGTTTTGGGCGCATCCACCCTTAGGATTCATATTTCCCCCCCCCCTTTTGAAATTTAATTTATATGTTTTGACAAAAGTAGCGTCTTAAGAGTGATGAGTGTTTACTTTTTCCTGTAAATATGATTTTTTTATTTTATTTTTGACAAAAAGGGGATTAAAAGAAACTGTTTTACGATGCTGCCTACGAAACTATGAAGTGATATCTGTCCACAGAATTTGTTTTGATTCAGGAAATTATCAAAGTGAAATTTTTGTGAAATGTGACAATAACAGGGTGAGAGTTTCACAGGTTACGCTCAACAGAGGCCAATGAAAATGAATGAGGGGGGTCATTTGAACTCACTGTATTGATCGTTTTGATTAGTAGCAAAATTCACAGCAGTGATGATCTGTGGTTGTCACTGTTTTTGACATAATCTATGCTTGACGGACTGAAAATAAATCTGAGAAAGTGCTGAATCTCTATATGTCAGTATCTTTATTGGTTGTCTCTGAATACAAAACAAAAAAAAAACAATATTTAAAAAAATATATTGTTCATTTCATGCATTTAAGACACAGGGATATTTTATGTATTTAGTTTAGTTTAGTTTATTTACTTTATTAATCCCCCTGAGGAGAAATTCAATGTTTTCACTCTTGCTTGTCAATTACACACAGGTCTGAAAGACACACACATGCACAAACAGGACCTATACATGCACAAAGTGGAGAGATGTCAGAGTGAGGGGGCTGCCCTTGGTCAGGCACCCCGAGCAGTTGGGCGGTTTGGTGCCTTGCTCAAGGACACCTCGGCAGTGCCCAGGAAGTGAACTGGCACCTCTCCAGCCACCAGTCCACGCTCCATATTTTGGTCCGGACGGGGACTTGAACAGGCGACCCTCCAGTTCCCAACCCAAGTCCCTATGGGCTGAGCCACTGCCACCCCACAAAACAAAACAACCTAATCACTAAAATAAATGTTGGCATTGTATGTTTCTGCACACCACAGATGTGTTCAATTTCTACATTTTTATTTAAGGGAAATATGATGAAACTTTGTTGGGGGGGGGGGGGGGGTTCTATTTTCAACTGTGGCTATGCTACAGTTGATGTGGGGTTAGGATTATGCAAAAAAAAAAAAACTTGGTTAAAGGTTAAGAAAACCCTGTTTGGTCGACCACAAACACAGCTGGAAATGTCCCAACCTCTCGTTAAAAAATGTTTGCATTTGTTGCTTCATACACCGCAGGAAATGTCCCAGTGTCTTGTTAAAATACTTGGTTTTGTTACAACAAACATCTGGAACTGTCCCAAACTTTAATTAAAAAATACTTGCTTTTGTCACTACGAACATGGCTGGAAAAGTCTTAACCTCTAAATACCTGCCTTTGTCGCTTGGTTGCTGGGAAAGTCCCAACACCTTGTTAAAAATACCCAGTTTTACTCCCAATAACACGGATTGAAATGTCCTGTCCTCTTAGTAAAAAAAATTACCCATTTTTACCACCACAAACAGAGCTACAAATGTCCCAAACTCTGAAAAAAAGTACCTGGTTTTCTCGCTGCAAACAAGGCTAAAAATGTTCTCATTTCTTGTAAAAAATACCCACCTTTGCTGCCACAAACACGGCAAGAAATGTGCCAGTTTATCGTAAAAAAAATAGCTGCTTTTGTTGCTACAAGCACGACCAAAAATATACATAAGTGTTGTTAAAAAATACCTGATGTTATGAACATGGCAAGGAAAGTCTCAACCTCTAAATATCTGCATTTGTTGCTACAGACATGACTGGGAAAGTCTCGATATCTACCAAATACCCACTTTTGCTATCACAAACATGGCTGGAAATGTCACAACCTCTCAAAAAAATACCTACTTTTGTCGCTGCAGACGCAGCTAAAAATGTCCCAATCTCTTGTAAAAAAAATACCTGCTTTGGTTACCACAAACACGGCTAGAAATGTGCCAGCTTATCTTAAAAAATACCCGCCTCTGTCACTACAAGAATGGCTGGAATTGTACAGATGGTATTTATAAAAAATATCCGCTTTTGCCACCACAAACACGTCTGACCATGCCCCAACCTCTCTGCCTGCTTTTATCGCTGCAAACACGGCTAAAAATGTCTTGATCTCTTGTTAAAAGATAGCAACTTTTATTGCCACAAACAAAGATAGAAAAGTGCCAACGTATGGGACACGTATAAGAAATACACACTTCTGTCGCCACAGAAATGGCTGGAAATATCCTGACATGTCAATAAAATTATCTGCTTTTGTTTCTTCAAAAAGAGCTGGAAATGTCCCTGTCTCAGTAAAAAATACCCAGTTTTGTTGCCACAAACACAGCCACTTTTGTTTTTCGTTGGTTTTGAATGGTGAATAATTGCTGTCTGCTGCTTGGCAGCTGTCTCGTATAGGTTTCATGCCATCCACTTTCACCTCCTCCTCCTGATGAGATACTCAGCTCATATGTAATCTGAACTACGCCACTTTAGAAATGTTGATATGAAGCATACAGTACACACGTGACATATCCTTGGTTTGCAGAAATATATAAAGCCAACATTTTATTTAGGCTGCTGGGCTGGACAGTATATTAAAAAGAAAGAAAGGAATCAGAACTAATGGGTAATATGACACTTTGTAAAGTAAAAACTGACTGCAGATTTGGGCTCACAACAAATGATTAGGCTAATTTTGTACAACACATAAAGTCTCCACACAATATTTTGATTTGGATTTGTACGACACATGAGCGAGTTTTATTACAATTCCACCTTAAATTGCCCTCATTGTTAGGGCTACATTCTGACACCTAATAGTGATAATACAGATCGTTATGTCAAACTATAATCACAGAGTCAAGGTTATTAGCGATAATTGGCAAGTTTAGCCGAGAAGAGTTTCAGCACATATGAGCTGTCAATCATAGTTAGAGCAACACTGCTGACGGCTGTGCCCGGGTATCCAGTGACATCTCCAGCAGTCGACACCACAAGCACACAGCCACGGCTGCCAATCATCCTGCGAAGCAATGAGAGTGTGTTTGTGTAGGCTATGTGTGTGTTTTCATAAAAAAAGAACAACTGCAAAAAAAGTGGTTTTGTGGAAGAGAAAGCAAACGAGACAGAGAGGATAAGGATTAAACTCTTCTGCCGGTGACAGTTATCCTGACAAATTAAGCCCTGCTCAGCAGATATCAGTGGATTGTGTCAAATGTGGCAGTTCACTTTTTTTTTTAATACATCAATTAAGCTTGCTTTTTATAGTGTATTTTTTCCCTTGAAAGTAACAAAAATGAAGTCAACTGTCAAAATCTGAATGTAATGCTATGTTTGCATGCCAACTCATAGCAACATGACAAAACCTAGATACAACAAAACAACCATCCACAATAAAACGCTTTTTTAATAAGAATAAAGAGCTTGCAGTGTTTTGCATATGATGAGAAACTGTTAAACATAAATGTCAGATCACAGTTTGATGATAAAACTTGGCCGTGTGCCTCTGCTCGCTGTCACATCACATCCACTGATCTCAGAGTTATGTACACACTAATCTGGGAAACCACTGAGACATAGTATACAGAGGCATCTGTATGCAGGGTCCAGATTCATACGCTGTAGGGCAATAAATGACCTTGGACTGCTGACAACTCCTCAGGATGACCCGTGTTGTATTTCAGCTGGTAACAGGAAGCTGCTCACAAATCAGATTGATTTGACAGGAGTCATTCCTCTTCTCCTGACACACGACATTAGTGCCTGTTTATATTTAACAACATTGCTGGCCTATAAACAAAGTAAACCAATATCAGATGAGATCTACAGCTGCTGGAGCACACGTGCTTTCATAGTAGCGTCACACGCGACTAACGTAACCCACGTAAGCACCTGCGAGCCATACTGTAATTAGCAAGGTTAGCTTAGCTCGCTTACTTCTCAACCGGCGAACGAAAGGTGAGTGATACTGTAAGCGTGTTTTGGCGAATATGTGCGTGTTTGGAGCACACATATCATACGGACGGACAGCAGAGGAGTATATCACGCTAAAGTTGTAATTGTGTGACATTTTGGTAGTTTGTCCGATGTGAGACTGCGACGCCGTTAGCTGCTGTGGATCCACTGCGGAGGAAGCTACTGCTAACTAACGTGTCAAGGCCAAATGAGGTGAGTATTTGATATTTAAAACATAGGTTTTCGGTGGGGCACTCGTTTAACTTGTGTATGACAAGACTATAGCGCAACCACAACAATAATAATAAATAAATAAAAGTAAAAACAGTTACAGTGAAGTTAACGTGTAATGAAAGGAATGTGTGCCCATCTATCGAAAACTTGAAGAATACTACAGAGTCGAGTCCCGGATAGAGTAGTGACGTGTGCACAACAGTTGTTCCCTCAAGAAAATAACGTGTGCAAACTTATCTGTACACAAAAGCTTTTTACTAATTTTAGCATATTGTTAGATTTATATAGTCTTATTTGATTATTTTTATTGATATTATATTGTATTGTTATTGGTTATTGTATGATATTGTTTTCTATTTTTGTATTATTCTATATGTTTATGTGTAGTGCAGTCTGTTGGGAAATTAGTTGCCAACTTTGCCTATCTGCTTCAGTGATGGTATTTATCATTATTGTAGTTTTAGTTTTGTTTGTATTTAAAAAAAAAAGCCTAATTTTATTTGCTTGAATCCTGCATTGTTACAAGATATATACAAGATAATAACTTGTATACACAAGATAAATTGCATGAGATAATATCAAATGTGCACAGAAAAAAAAAATCACCATTCTAGACTGTAGGGGATCTGTTGTACAAAGATTTTAACCATTCTTTTTATTTCTATACATGTTCACCCTAAATCACAAAATTGCATTGGGGGTTTATTAGTCTCGCTCACCAGACCTTTCTCAAGAAAAGAAAGGTCTGGCTGGGCCGACTCTCACTTTAAGATTGGAGAAAAAAACACCCCGGCTGCTTGTATTTCTTTCAACCAATCACAATCGTTCTGGGCGGTGCCACAGCAACGGTGTGCTTGCAAAAATATTGCCAGGGGGAAACAGGTTTTGGTGTAACCCGCCCACAAAAATATCACCTACAGGACGCAAACCATGGCAGAAAAATGGCTACATCCCCGCAAGATCAAACACCACAAAAGTTAGTAAAGGACGTGTTGAAAACTGCAACCGGAGGTGGTAGGGCGGGACTTCAGCGGGTGGCTCGTTCCGCCCACTGAGAGGCTGATTTATGCAGCGAACTTCCGCCCACTCAGACTAGGGGTTTATAACCTGTAAATCATATAATTTGGATTTCAAACCTGTTGCATACAGCACAGTTCATTGTTTTTCGTTAAGGTATTCTAGAGGTTTGTTACAGAAATGGCTATTTGTCAGATTTTATTGAGGGAGGTATTTTTTCCCCACAAAAAAATATCTTGTCATGTCACTCTAGGAAAAGCACAGGTGTAAATAATAAAATGAA